TTTGTTCTACATAATTCAGTACATATTGAATTCCATCATAAGCCTTTCTTGCTAAAATATACTTTTCTTGCAAATATGTAACAGACAAATATTATTTTTTTTTTGCACATTATATAAATATTATACAGTGACTAAAGTTTTTCTTCCAGCATTTTAATAGCTTTATTCTTTGGGATTTTAGCTATTTATGTGTCATTATTCCTCGAGACTTCCCAAAATCTGGACTTCAAGATACATTTTAAGCATAGCCTGTCAGAGATCTGTAGTAGTATGGGTATGTATTTATTTAATTAATTATGTAATTGTTTTTTGTATGTATCATAAATGCTAAAGCATTAATTTTATTTTTTTATTTTATTAACTTAAAAAACAAAATTAATATGGAATATCTACGGGAGTTTCCGTATAGTTCCGGCATAGAACAGGCTAATGTCTATTTTGACGCCAAAGGTCACAAATGTTGAGGTGATACTTATTTCATTTAATGTATCTATTTATTTTAAATAATCTTTGGTTGATAAACCCACATATTCCTTACTAATATTAGGTATAGGTGTGAAAGTAAGTTTGTTTGTTACTTCTTGGCGCTTTAACGGCTCAATAATCTTCACGTAATTAGGTATATATGTAATGTTTTTGATGGAGTAGGAAATAGGCTACTTTTTGTCCCGCTTCCGGCTACGCAGACGAAGTCGCGGGTAAAATCTAGTAAACTCTAAATCGTGACCTTTATCGCGTCTTTATCGCGATGAAAGTGTACTGTTATAAGTATAAAGAAAGTATCTGATATCTGAGTATTTATTGGCATATCTCTATCACGCTTAACTATAATATAAGCAAGATATTTCGAATTTTCTATACTATTTTATACTTGCCTAATTCATTATGTGAAGGTTTGTATAGACGTTTGGATATTTAGATGTCTAAACATCAAAATTTTTGTTACTCGATCAAGCTTAAACAGCCGAACTGATTTGAATGAGGTTTACTTTACCAGTTGGATTGTAACCTGGCTTAACAAATAGGCTTCTTTTAATTAAATTAATTTATTATTATTTCTCACCACAAACAATTAAGGACTTATTATCTATAACTCGCAAAACATTTTAACTATATTATTTGTGGGAGCTGGTACCTGTACTAGGTATTAAACCTGTATTACAAGTCTCCAGGACCCTTACCACGAACAGTACAAATTATACAGATGATAACTTTCACAAAAAAAAAAGGTGATGGTGAGTACTTAAAAAAAAGTTTAGATACAGTGCGTATACAAGATACATTTATAGCTTTCGATTATAAATTTAAAACAAAAACAAATTATATGCTAGGGTTAATAAGAATGCATTAAAATATAAGTAAAAAATATGTGACACGAGTTTATGTTATAGAATGTATGTTATGTATGTGTATGTATGTGTATTTGTATCTGAACGTGTGAGTATATATGAGTTTGTTCGGTGTAAAATTAATTTGTAATTGTTATTTATAATTGTAAATTATTTGCACAAAACTGTGGATACAAATATTGTTATAATCATCATTATCATACCAGCCATTAACTGACCACTGCTGAACACAGGCATCCCCCATAAAGAGAGATTTTGCCAGTAGTTGCCACGCTTGGCAGGCGGATTGGCCATCACAGTTAGGTTTTGGTGATGTTGTAAGAGGTACATTGCTGCCCATCTCTTGATCGCCTCCTACGATACCCACAGGAAATGAAGGGGCGGCCCATTCTATGCCGAGATCACACGGCAATGTCATAATATTTTTCTTTAATTGAAGCAAGCATCTACTTACTATTTTTAATAAAAAAAAATTATAGTTTACGTATTTAGATGAATATGCCTCTACATTTACAAACGCTGGTTTTTCATATTTTTTTTATTATTCATTATGTATTTGTTATAGTCTTTCTGCTTGTTCAAAAGAAAAAAAAATGAAATGTCATGACTTTGAAAATACATTTCATAAATATGTATTAGATGACTATTGAATGGAAGAATATGTCACAAAGACTTGTCATGAGCAAACAAATAATGTGAAATGGCTCGCATATATTTATGTTGTTCCAAACAAAGGCCAGTAGGCATAGTTGAGTATGCGCCTTCTACAGTTTCACTTGCTCCAACCAAGCCACGATTAGGCATGGAGCCATAGATCTCTAAATATACATAATTAAATATTCACAGATAGACCCAACGACTACAGTAATTGAGGGGAAAGGGATTGCTAGTAATGGGGAAGTTAATCCCCATTGCTAGCAATACACCCTGTTAGGTCTGGAAACTTGTATTTAATTTTTGTTAAAATTGTCACAATGGGCTAACTGATCTGATTTTATCCTTACCTATCACCATTGCATTATTATAATGTCATCTTAGGGGTATATCATATTGCTGAATTCTATTAATATTTTAAATGTGAATGTTTATAAAGATATTTGGATGTTTGTTATCTGTTATTCAATCATATTTGAAAAGCTAAACAGATTTAAATAAAATTTGCCACACGGATTGGTTATATCCTAATGTTAAATATACATATATTTATATTACCTACTATATTTTATTGATTGACACGAGTATAGCCGTGGGAAACAGCTACTTAACTTATACTTTTGTAAGTGATCTATCTAATCAGATACAGTAGTCACTTAATATGGTATGCATGTATTTATGTCAGTATCTTGATAAAGACCAAGGGGCAGAGTTGAGCATGTACGTACAGTTTCACTCGTTCCAACCCACGATTAGGCACGGATACGCAGATTTCTAAATATAATTATATATCTATGCACATAGCTATTAACTACATAGATTTCATCTTAACAGTACGTTACACTGTCAAATATATAATAATAATGTCAAAATATAGTATAGATGATGAAACTAGTTCTATGTTTTTTTGAATTGAAATTTCCGGCCAAATTACTGTCACTGGTAATAAACATTATTACCCAGTGATTTTTTTTAAATACAACTTTGAATGGCAAACAAGCTGACAGCCCACCTAATGGAAAGTGGTAAATCGTCTATAGACATGTGCATGGACCTATCATGGACATAACAGATTACACTATTTCGTCCATGTTATCCCCCATGCGTTGCCATTTACTAGTATTATATTGTGTGTTATTCCTCTGTACCCCGTAAACTGATTGCCATATGTTAAGATGCTACTACATTAAAAAAAATAGTACTATACTGTTGGGATGTAGGATTTACATACGTTTGGCTGTGTCGGGAAGTATTTTCGTTTATTTAAATTATTATTATTTTTTAAATTCTTACTAGTTTTCAAATAGTGAATATGAAATATTGATCCGTCTCTGCTATAGGTATATATACTGACAGGACACCAGTGAGAGATTAAAGGTGAGGATGAAGCAGGTCGATTGGTCCAATGCGGCAAATTTAACAATTGACCACGATGATTTCCAGGGGGAACCGCATGGAGGTCGACCTAATAAGGTATATTGCTAGCAAGGGGGCAGTTAGGGTCTCTATTACTAACAATCCCTTTTCTCCCATTCTAACTAGTGTAAGCTTTGTATTTTTCACACAAGGATATAAAGGATCTTATTTGTTACTTTGGGTTGTGATTTGTTGACATACCATGTAATTTGTAACAATTTTCAATTAAAATTCATTCAGCCATTTAAACAAAATAAAAAAATTGCACGGTACACTGTGTTTTAAAACTCAAATTAAGAAGTTGTATTAATTATCTATGCAATGTAATACAATAATTAATACTATCTGTGGTAATTGTCAGAATTAATATGTTGCTAATACTCTTTATGAAGGTTGTCTGTATTGTTCCTTCCTTCCTCTGCTGTTTTGTCTCATGGATAATATGTGTAATGTTGGGCTGCTTTTATCAAAAATATATGCATCAACTTGCTTTAAAGTAGACAGGAGTTAGTTCTGGAGATATGAGAACTGTATTCCTTTATCATATTTTATTTATTTTTCAAATTATACAAGATAATTACATAAAAGTATATAAAATGCATTTGCAAAAGAAGTGTTTAAAAAATATAATCATAATTATAATTCGCAAAGCAAGTCTGTGTTTCACAGTTTCACTTTCACAGATCACTGTGATCATCCATCATTAAATATCACGAAGCACTTTCGATGTCGTTTGTCTGATTATCAACGATGATTGTAACAGAACACTGCATTTCCTTGTTAACATCTCTGTTTCCATTGTTAACCTGATGTTATATTATTAAAATTTAAAAATAATTTGCCAGTATCAATGTATTTTTGTTTATGATGATGGTAATGGAATGGTAACCGCCCATGCGCTAACGGTATATGTTCACCAATGAGAGATGATAGGCAAGGATGAAAAGGCAGGTCAAATCCACCCTGATGAATACACCTGGTATTCAACACGATGGTTTCCATAAGGACCGCGGAGAGGTTGAGCTGGCAGGGTATATTGCTAACAATGGGACTTGTAATTCACATTACTAACAATCTTTTTTCTCACAGTGCCCATGTGTTGACAGAGTATTCGGCGTGGTAATATAGTAGTAATATAATAAATGTATGGTACCGTTTCCTCTTGGTGGTACAAATGAGAGATTAAGCGAGGAAATGGTAGTCTAATTTGTGTCACATTGTCACTCTTTTTCCCTTCCAGAATGTCGCAAGAGGAATTCAAGGAAATCAAACTCTATAAAAAAAAAAAAAAAAACTTTATATAAAAATTATTACATATTCTGTTATCAGAAAATATTACACAATCATATAAATTTTACGGGAGTACGATTACCTAGGGAATTGTGAAAATAGGTTTAGAATTGATGACGTAATCGCGTAGCATAGTTATAAAAAGTTCAGAAATATTGAAAATAGCCTTTTTTTGGAAATCGTTTGAAAATTAGAGTATCTTGTTCTCGTGAGATAATGGAAACGCGCCGGCAGAAAGTCAGTAGGCCTGTTCTACACGTTCAAAGGCTACGTTCAGTTTGTCTGTTCCGCGCATAAAGTGAGCACCCAGCGGAACTGCGCAAAGTATTTGTGCAAAATTTGTGTGATAACCGCGATCTGTGTGCACTGTTAGAATTTATAAAAAAGTGTCAATTTTACTTTTTTTCACTCTAATAATTATCTGTGAATTTAGTGTTCTTTTTTATTATTAAATATTGGATTTCACCTAATTAAAAAAATATCAATACAGGTATATGTAAGTTAGGAAAAGATGTAAAGTAGTTTTCATAATAACAATTTCATTCTAGTCTAACTTTTTTTTTGACTGAAGAACTGTCATGTAGAACGAACATATTGCTTGGAAGGTTTTGGATTTGATTAAGTCATATACCTATATTTTTTATCACTTGTACGCAAATTAAATTTAATGGTATGGTTTCATATTGCTTTGGAACTGTGGGACTGTAAATAAGGAAATATAAAAATGTAAGTAGGTATGTAATAGTAACAATTAGGCTACATTAGCTACTTTATATAATTAATTGTAATAACATTTCTTTCGAAATGATTTTTATATGAATATAGTTATGTACATTCGTATACTTACCAATATACATTATTTCAATAAAATTTTGAAAATTTTTTAATAAAATATTATCATCATATTCTAATTTAAACATATGAAAATCTAGTAAAGAAAGAACTAAAATACATTTATTTATATTAATTACAAACTGCTTAATGCTAAATAATGGAAATTAATTAATAAACAATTAGGAAAATAGTAATTTACTGATTTAAAACTATGACGGTTACCATTGTCCATCAGGTGGGCCGTTAGCTATCATGCATTTCTATGTTGCATAAAAAAAAATCAAGCTTTTCTCCTTGTATTACAACTATAGAAGATTTAAAACTAATAATAATAATGAACTAAAATAATAAATAAGTGATACTTTGAAATTTCTAAATAAATAAATTTTAAAATTAAAGTTTTGTGACTTAGAGCTATGTTTGTAACTACGAGAGCCATTTGTGCCCAGTACATACAGTATTGAAAATATGTGGGTAAACTATTATTGTATTGTGTTTGTTTCTACCGTCAGAATGTACGTTATTTTAGTAACTTTATTTTGTAATTCTAAATGAGAATACATATCTAATATCTAATATGAATAATAACTAGTTGCAAATTTTTTGAATTGATGTCGGCTGTTCTCACGTTTTTAAATTCGGGTATGTCTGACTACTCGTAGTTACGAACACAAAAAGAGCCCTTATTCGTGAGCGCCGTTCACAACTGGATTGCGAGCAGCATTTCGAAACTAGTTGGGCATTTTCGAGTTTAAAAATGTGAGTAAAGTCTATATAAATAATTGCAATATATTATGATTTACGTTTATAATTTAGTACTTATCATATCAGCGTTTAACAGTCCACTGCTTAATACGAGGTCTGTCCGGAAAGTTCGTATAAAAGTGTTCTGGAATGCGAGAAAGAGGAGTGAGGCCATAAGCGCAGGACCCCTTCCTTATGTCCCTAACAATGCTTCAGTTCTGGTCTGACCGCCGTGCGGTAACTAGCTTGTCACGCCATCTGTGAAGTTTTTAACGAAACCCCGTCGGATGGAGCCCGCTTCCGTTGAAGAGCAGCGCGTCGTAATCAAGTTTCTCTCGAAACTCGGCAAGAATTTCCGGGGAACCACGAACAAAAAAATCAAGAAAATCCCGCTCAAATGTCAAGACAATGTTGATTGTTTTTTTCGATGTTCGGGGGATTGTCAATCAAGAATTCGTCCCTCCAGGCCAGACAGTTGATGGAAAATTCAACGTGTGCTCAGACGCCTCAAAGCTCGTGTGGCACGAGTTCGTCCAGAATTGGCGCGAGAGGGGCGTTGGATTCTTCACCACGACAATGCCCCTGCCCACACCTCTCTTGTTGTCCGTGAGTTTTTGAGTAAAAATTCCATTACGGTGACCGAACACCCCCTATTCGCCGGATTTGGCCCCGTGTGACTTCTTCTTGTTCCCAAAAACCAAATTGGTACTTCGTTTACATAAAATGAGATAAAAAAAGCTACGACGGCAGCTATATAAGGACTTTCAATTCTCACAGTGGATATATTGGCACAAGTGCATTATGTCACAGTTATTTGATAATAAAATTGATTTACCTGAATAATTGTAAAATAAAATTTTTAAAAAACTTTTATACGTACTTTCCGGACAAACCTCGTATAAGCTTCCTCCTCGGGGGGTTCTGCCAGTAGTTGCCACGCTTGGCAGACGGACTGCCAACCAGTCAGGCTTTAGAAATGTTTAAAAAGAGATACTCTTGCCTATCTCTCGCCCTTAGTTGCCTTTTACGATATCCACGGTAAAGGAAGTGGGGGCCTATTCTATGCTGGGACCACACTGCCGATTTTAGTAGTTATTATTCAACAATAAATATTTACTATATGTATACAATTATACACATCCATCCAATACTGTAGTTATTGACTCGTTATATCGTAATGTTGAATGGTGAAAATCATTTCCTTTGCGGTAATAATTTCCTTCCATACCGCTTAGGGAACGTCTAATAACGTATACTTTTATCCGGCATTGTATAAATTTGCGGGTAATCTTTGTTGTGCATTTAATACTGTGTTTTGAATGTATTAAATAGAGGTGTGTAATATATGATAATATGTATATATTGTAGTTACAATATTTGTTTATTTTACCTCGATAAAAATATATTTAATGTCGGTTTCCCAATACACAATATAAAAATTAAGTACCCGATTGAAATGAATATAGATATCCGTTTGGTATGGTTGATACCGAAATGAGTGATGCCTTTTTTCCGCCGACAATATTCACACGAATTCAATAAATAGATAACGAAGTGTTACCGATATCACCCATGCCTAGTACTAAAACGTACATAGTTTAAAATAGTAAACTTTAAACTGTCTATGTCTACACTAAATATCAAACGGAGTAAATAGAAAGAAAAGAGTGCGTAAGGCTCTTCTTAGTATATTCACACATTTTACTTCATTCACTATTGACGTGTAACTGACTTCATACAACCTTGGAAATTTTAAAAATCAGTAATTTATTTTGTTAGATTTTTTTAAATCAATAAAACTGAAAACAGAATATTATTATTATATATTATGCCTTCGAAAAATCTCTCAATCAAGTTTGGTTAATACACTGCGGATGCATTTTCTTTCCATAATATATGCAAATTGCCTTTGGTGCCATTGACATTGACCGCTTACGTAAGGACACGTGGGACGTGTCGGAGTATAACTGGTCATATACCTATAGATTGTTTGAAGAATTTGATTAAATCGTTCTGAGCATATCTATACAACTAGCTATATAGCTTTAGGTTGATAGATCCTAATATGTTAAACCTGGGGGGGAAAGGGATTGTTAGTAGTGGAGACTGAGAATCCCATTGCCAGCAATATACCCAACCAGGTCGACTTCCTCGCGGTTCTCCCTGGAAACTATCATGGTTAATTTCTGATGAATTCATCATGATGGGCTAACTGGCCTGTTTTCATTCTCGTCTATCATCCTTCACTGGTGCTCCGCCAGCGTATCCCGTTAGCGCAGGCGTGGTTACCATACAATTTTCACCCATCAAAAAAAAATGTTAAATCTTGACCTTTTAACCTTTTAATTTCTCATTCTGGGCATGGGTTTTTTTATCTATAAAAGAAGAAAAGTCTAAAATACTATTTTGATCAGACGACAATCTTTGTTCTTTTAATCAGCATTTAAGAAATCCTGAAGATGGAAAAGGAGTTATGACATGTTGTATTCACATATTTAGCCCGTCATCCTTCCTCCATGCACCACTTAGTGATAAAGTTTTATCCATTGATGAAATACGCTTTCCACGAATTGGCATCCCGTTGCTTATATAAAATAGTGAGCACGGGATGCTACACACCTAGGCACCCAAAATTAAAAAAAAAAGAAAACATAATTTTTGTATTATCACATGGATTAGTTAATGTGATAGCTAAATCATAAAGTTTTTATTGTGAATTCGACATAACTTTAGGAGTATCGTTAGGACAGATATCTAAAATAAATAAAAATAATTTTTATTTATGTTAACTAAATAAAAAAAAAGCGTTTTAGAATAATCTTTTTTTTTTTTATTTACCGCCCAGTTCGGAATTCAGTACAGCTGAGAATAACGGGCAAGAAACATAACTGTCTCTCTACATATCTCATCTTATCTGCGAAATGCATTATACTCAGATGTTTTATACTTCAAATTATCAGACAAAGCAATTATGTAAATAACTTTACCAATCCGGTTTCTCTCGTGGAGGGTCCGGTCTGTCTAGACAGTTTGTAACAAAATTCATTATTAATGAACACAAGAAAGATATAACAGTACTTACTACTTGTTTTTCTTTCACATGTGATAGCGTAGACGTATCTTAATAATATACTTGTAATAAAATTGTAAATAGACAATACGAGTATCTGCAGATACATTTATAAAAAAATCATATGAGACGTCTTAAAACAATAACTTTTTGTAATTTTATCTGTTATTCTGTTTGTCTGTATGTTTGTTTCAGCATCACGCCGAAACTACTAAATCAAATTAAATGCAATTTTCACATGTATATTCCTGAAGATTTAACTTAAAATCTAGTGTATGTTTGTTATAATATATTATCTAAAAATAGTCTATTTAATTGGTTTTCCTACTTCTAAAATCCACGTTTACAAAGTAGCAGGCAAAAAATTAATTAGAAATAGATTCGTGTGTCTATATTAAATAATTTCCACATATGTTCTTCTGTATCATTAATCATGAATGAAATATAATAAATGAACTAGCTATATAAATAGGTAGATCGTTAATTGATACGTAATTAAATTTAAACATTATAAACTAAACCAAAAATCACTTATTAAATGACATTCTAATCACTAATAGGTATGTACCAACTCAAAAGTTGTTGTACTAATTAGTCGACTGAAGTTATTTATTGTTTTACTTTACATTATTAAGATATTAAGAAAATGTTAGGCACCTATATTTTTTTACTAGATTTATATTATATTAAATTTGTATTTTTTACAGTTGCCATAATATGATACCTGTTCAGATTTTCTATATAGGTATGTCATAAAAAATTATGAATAAGAATTTTGAATAAAGTATGCATATGTATATAGTGTGCTAAATTTTTGAGCTATACTTAGGTATAATCAAAATTTTAAATAGCCGTTCTATTTGTAAAGTCTTTTGTATATTTGACAACATCGAATGTCTATGTTTTTAATAATAATAATCTAATATTTCTACCGTGAGGCAGTCGTGTTTGCATGGCTATGTTTCAGTTTGAAGGATGGCATATGTCAGTGAATTTACAGGGTACAGAGGAATAACACCTGACTCCTCAGGAATGGCAACGCATGAGGTGTATTATGGGCGCAACAGTACTCTGTTATGTCCGTGGTACTGCTCATGTCTATAGGTTACCACTTTCCATCAGGTGGGCCGTCATCTTGTTTTTGCTATTCTAAGTTGCATAAAAAAAAAAAAAGAAAAGCGTAATGTATTTAGTATCATATAAAGCTTCTTAAGTTTGATTCATAGTGCGGAACTTGAACTCGAATTTCTGAACTAACAAGGCGTTGCTGAAAAAAAAAGTGAAACAAAATTACTTTCTTATTTTAATGTCTACTTTTTATAACCAGTTACAACTATGTAGATTAGAACTGTCACGGTTTTACTTTCATTCTCTTATTACGTTCACGAGTTGATTACAAGCACGGCGAAGAATATAATGAAATAATAATCTATTAACAGTCACTATTATGTGGTTATACAAAATCGGACGCATTACTTAATAATGACATCTTATTGCCAGGCAATGATGACTTATGGTTTATTTTTATTCAATTTAGTTGGCGAAATTCGTTGTACAAACCTAAATATGATGTATCTAACATATACAACTGTGTTGCGTGTGTAATCTAATGACTCAAGAAACGGTCTTTCGGAACTTCGTAAACTTTGTGTAATATTATTTCTCTTATATTCAGTTATTTATTTGCTCTTTACTGCACTACTTAAATTATATATATATATATATATATATATCTTCACGCATACTACCTATTTATCTATATAGATAGATTTCTTTTAGAAATAAGCGGTGACAACGAATATCGAATTACCAATTATTAAAGGCAAAAGTAAATATTGCTATTCAATTTCTTCATTCAATTTTATAAACTGTATCATGCTAGCAAACTGGATCTAGATGATTATTTCTATCTTTGGTAGTAACGATTCTTCTTACTAACTTTACGTATAATTTGCTCTAATCGCAAAAAGTGCGTTATCGTCGATACTAATAAAAATAAATAATAAAACAATAAATTCCATTTAAAATGCGTAGTTCCAGTTTTAATATAATAAACAATCTAGATGATTGTCTTTATATTAGTATATTTTCTAGATTATTAAGCTAGTGTTATGTTATAAAATAAACCTACGGTCCAAATTTTATTTTTCCAGATATTTTGGCTATGCGTTGCTAGTCAGATAGGATGAAAGATTTTATAACTTTAGTTTTTTATATTATCAGTTTTAAAAGAATTTTTTGTGATCTATTAGTACCTGTCCCATTTACAAGTTTTTTCTAGTTATACACATATTTGATTTCGAATTATAACAGGTTTGTCAGGAAAAATTGGTTTTTACGTAGCGGCTTACTCACACCTACATACTACGATGAAGACGTAATATATTGTATTTATAATAATTCTTTAAATGTCTTTATATAAATGCTATTGAACTTTAAATGATTACATAATACTTAATTTAATTACAAGTTTGATGAATATACAAAGTGATGTAGGTATTTTAGAGATAACATTATAGTTATGTGTCGTAAATTTAATTGTCTTTGTTGCAATGTGTATTATTAAATTTTTCTTTATCTCTAATTTTTATTGTATACAAATATAGTAATTTATTTAATTTTAAACGTATGGTACTCGTATAAGGGTGAGCTTAACTCTATTAAGAGATTTCTTCAAGCTTGTAATGTGTAATATTTTTAATTAATAGTTAAAATTATCGTTCCATTTTTCTTTATGGTTGACAGTATAATCTTTTTATCATCATGTCAACAATTAACTGCCCATAGCTAAACATAGGCCTCTTTCATAAGGGTTTAGCTAGTAGTTGTTACTTTTGACAATCGGGTTAGAAACCGCAATTAGCCTTTGGTGATGTTTAAGAGGGACACTGCTGCCATATCTCGATTATTAAGTTTCTTTAGTTGCCTCATATCACATCCATGGAAAACAAAAGATGGTCCATTCTATGCCGGGAATTGTCCTATAATTCTGACGAGATTTTTATATTGAAAGTATAAAATTGTCTTTTTTAATGTTAAACTGGTAAATTTAATAAAATGGAAAAGAGTAGGTAGGTATCTGCTGGAAACTCAGAATTAATAGCATCTTTTTAAGGAAGTACAGTGAAACTGGTAATTTCGTCCCAAGAAACAAGAATCGAAAAACGATAAAAAATTATACCTCTTAAAATATAAAAAAAGGTTGCATGATTCATGTTTCCTTTGGGATGGCATCCAGTCTCATTAGTAATCTGTGTGTATTTTGGCTGCATTTTTTGCTTTGCTTTTTTACATGGGTGTCTACAAGCTCGTTTCATTTTTACAATTACACATTAATATATATTTTAAATACATTACTGGGATTTAACGGGATGAAAAACTTTTGAAGGTAAATAGTACCTACATACTTAATTTTTATTGTTAACGTTTCGACGTGGATTGCACCACGTCGTGCTCACAACAATAATAAAATTTAATATGACAATAAAAATCATGTATAATATGTTGGTACTATATACGTTCAAAAGTTTTTCATGGCGTTAAGTCCCGATAGTGTATTTAAAATAAGTGTAAACAACGCGAAAGTTTAAAATTAACTATACAAATTAATTTACTTTACTGATTAAATACTCGTATCTTATTTGGTAATTTTCATAACTTTATTTTGGTATTTATGATGATAATCATAGGACATGTGACATTAATTACCTGTTGTCTGGTGTAAAAATATTTTTTATTTATTCTTTATTGCACAATAAAATTTTGTTGAAAATGCCATATGGTATTAAGCTTGCCACTTGCAAGCTTAATACCATATGGCATTTTCTACTAGCTAACAGTTAGGTAAAAACAAAAATATTTCGTCTCATTTTAAACTAAAGAATATTTTTCTCTTGCAGAAGTAACAAAAAATATGCGGAACAGAATGAATATAATAAAATGGCCTCTAAGGAATTTGCCTGCTCGCCATTTCTCAACAACAGCTCGTTGTGGTCAGGCTGCTGAACCTGGAATTGATATTGGTAGGTTTCTATGGCTACATTTCCACTATTTTCATCTTATGTCATATTTATAATATAAAGGGGTCTAATATACTTAATTTTGTTTTAAACTTTTCATATTTGTTGCTAATCCTACTATACAGGGACAGGGGACGGGATTGTTAGTAATATGGACTATCAGTCCCATTCCTAGCAATGTAAGATGTGAGTGTAAGTAATGAAAGTAATGACACCCTGTCAGGTCAACTTTCACGTGGCCTCCCCCTGGAAACCGTCGTGTTGAGTTTTTGGTGTATTCACCACGATGGGCTAATTGACCTGCCATTTCATTCTCATTTATCATCCCTCATTGGTGCCTTGTTAGCATATACCGTTAACGCAGGCGGGGTTACAATTCCATTATCAACCATTAAAAAGTTCTAACAGTTCGTTGATCGTTAATAATCAACGGTATCGCTTTTCTGTTCTTGTCTAATACACGCATTGCCGACTGCGTATTTGTTATTGTATACCTAGACAAAGTATAAAATAAATAATATTTCATACATCACCTAAACGTTTTAGGTATTATATACATTGCCTAGATATTGTATAGAATACCGGATTTTACAGATTGCTAGTAACTATACAATAAAATACTGACAAATTGAAAGCCTCTTCCATATGTAAGTCTAAACTTAGAGTCTAAACTCGTTGCTATGTAAATTTTTGGTTGCCTGCGAAAATATTCATTTTTGTATTTGGCTAATTCTCAGGGTCAAACAAGGTGGGTTTAGGATGTCCGATTCACGGTCACCGTGCGCGCTCCACGCACGCAGCTATAGACACGTCGGTGTTCGAGAATGTGGCGCCATCTGTAAAGTCATGGGAGGAGGTGCCGGGACCGAAGCCACTACCGCTTCTGGGCAACACTTGGCGGTTTATACCTTATATCGGTAAGTGATTAATCAATATAAGAAATTTTAATAAAGTTGACCCCTTTTTGTTTTTGCTGTATTACAAGAATGGAACAAAATTAACATGAGACGCTACGTACTACTATCATAACATATCTCACCAGAGGGAGATTTTGTACAAAAGTCGTTTGCTTGAGTATCTCTGTCCCATTCGTGTTTGTACTATGAAATAGTTGTGTTTGCATATCTGTGTTTCGGTTTAAAGGGTGGGATATGACTGAATTTACAGTGTACAAATAAATAACACCTGAGTCCTCTGGAATGGCAATGCATGGGGGTATCATGGGCGAAACAGTATACTCTGTTATGTCCATGGTACTGTTCATGTCTATAAGCAACGGTTACCACTTTCCATCAGGTGGGCCGTCAGCTTGTTTGCCATTCTAAGTTGCATAAAATAAAATCCTTAATTTGATAGAGAATGATGAATATATATTTAATTTCATTTCATAACTACTCGTATAATGTTATTTAAAGTGGTATCTTCCATTCATTGCAATTTTTCTGTTAAATAAAATAGAAGCACTATCTACTACTGATACTTCTTTACGAATAAGCCTTCCTATAAATAAAATATGACCCGATTTTGCTAAAGATCACTTTATACTGCGATTCGACATTAGGGTTACAATTCGAAAATCTTCCTTTTCTATTGGTTGTTATTTTTTATTATCTATCTATTTTAACACCAAATACCATGCGAGATAGGCAGAGAGATTGTTATTTTTTTGAACTATACAATATGGTTGGTATTTTGCCTATCCTTCGTGCTATTATATCGGTTAGTTTGGTTCGCGGATGTACTTATTTAGGTCTTTATATTACTGTGCTAATAAATAAATAAACATATACTATTTAGGCGACCAACGATAATTGATATATAGAATTTTTTGTATCTATGTAGGTAACTCAAAAATTAGACACGACGTGTTTATGAATAATGTAAATATTATAAACATCGTAATACTAGCGACTTACGAACAATAGCATAATTATATATTTACAATAATATTTAAGGTTGCCTAAAGGTGGCCATATAGAATTAAGTGTTCGCTCAAGTTTACAGTGGACTTGACAAGACAAGTAAATTAACACGTACACTAGGAGTGCAGAGGGGTTCATCAGAGGCTTCTTGGGTTGTGAACGTAATGTAAATGATTCGTATATTTACATTGTTAGATTATACAATGCAAATCCTATATGATTCGCGTAAAACGGAAATATCCCCCCCCCCCCCCAGTTACAGTACAGTATTTGGGGAGAATATTTCCGTTGTATATGGAATATGGTAGAGTGGAGTTATAGTAGAATGAGCAAAGTATACTATGTGGGGGGGAAGAGACTGTTAGTAATTGGAAGGTTAGTCCCCATTGCTATCAATATACCTTATATAGTTGAGCTCCACACACTTCCCTCTGGAAACTGTTTTGCCTAATTTATCGTTGAATCCGTCAAGATGGACTAAGTGACCTGCCTTTTCATCTACATCAATCATCCCACGCTGGTGCCCCGCCAGCGTATACCGATAGCGCAGGCGGGGTTACCATTCCATTATCATCCATTAAAAAAAAAGTATACTATGTGTAGTTGTATTTACATGTTTACATTAATTTTATTATTCACATGTAAAAAATTATTGTATAGTCTCGGAACTTTAAGTGTAACTCAATATTAGGTCCGAATAAATCACGTCATTTTTTATTGCATTCATTTGTCTCACATTGTTTTTGAAATTTTTACTGTCATATATATTAATTCGAATGCATCTACATAAATTCTTGACAAGAAATTAATACTGTTCGAATAAAAAATAAAGTGAAAAAAATCCGGTTCTATTGAAATAAAAGATTATATTAAATAAAATATATTGGAAAACTTTAAAGAGATTTATTATTCATTAATGTTCATTGATCGTAGTTTTCTCATAGTAAAGCACAAAGTACATTATAATGTTCCGTGGTCGTTTTCATGTTACGTGGATTATTTTAATTTTATTACGTCCAATGAAAATAGCTATTTAATTTTGAATATTTATGGTGGGCTCTGGTCGAATATCAATTAATCTTTCTTTTTTTTATACATGACATCCAAATTAAGCAGGCTTTTAGTGTATTTGATTATATTATAATTTGTATATATTTTTTTATTAACCATAAATTACGCTACGTTATGACTTCGCGAATGACTTTGAAGTAATTTTTAAAAGAAGAAGATGCTCTAATTATCTGAATTTTTTAGCGCTATGTTAAGTGATATTCTTTTATGATTAACTTTGCACTCATATGTTAGTTCTATGTTAAAGTCTTATTAGAATTGAAGTTCGTTTATTGTAAAAAAATACTATACTCTTGACTAATTCTTTGTTTTATTATAAAGATTTATTAATCAGCAAGTATAGATATTTTTACTTGTCCAATATTACAATAGCAATTAAGTAAATAAATATTAATTAAATATATGCGTTTTTTTACTACGTTTACGACTTAGCCCAAAAGTTACAATTATTTTTCTAAATTATTCTGAAAGTATTAATTATAATTCTTAACATTTGTTTCGGTCTCGTTTCGCGGGAATAAATTTGTAGTTACGATAAAATTAAGTGAAGATGGTTTACTTATTGCTTCACGGTGGCTGATTTAGCATAATGTCTCTGCAATTCAAAACACAAAATTGCTCTGCTAATTTTCGTGTTGCAATGTTTTGAACTACAATGTCGGTATACATTTTTTTTCTTGTTCTATTACAACATTTTTGTAATTCAAACTAGGACAAGGACAGACTTTAAAACGATTGTACCCATCTTCTACTTATATTACTCAAAAACGATGGAGTTTCGACCTTGGTCATTACAAGTTTTTGATTAAGTTTTTAAAAGCTCTTCAGATGTATCTATCTTCGTAGGCAAGAGGTTTGACTGTTTATTCAATATATTAAAGTAGATACGAGTAGGTACTTATCTCTATGTTTGCATTGATAAAATATTTGTTCGATTTAAAATTTTTGGTTTATTTGTTTAAAAGTTTGTCAAATCATGAGAAAATTTATATGGAACTTACATATGAGTATTTAAATGCTATACATTGTAAATCCATTGTAAAAATAATTATCTAAATTAATTTAGAAATGGTGAAGATATTATATCTAGTAATATGGGCACAAAAAATTTATATCTCAGATTCAAATCTCCTTTTAAATACTATAGGTAGATAGGTATTGTCTAAGTATTTAGTAGTTGGTGGTTAAGTTTTTGTTTAAAATTACAATATAGTCCTTATAAATCAGTATCTATCCGGATGTATAAATTATCTCCGGATAATTTATACATCCGGATGCATAAATTATCCGGATATATAAATTCTATATTGTGTTAAATAGCAAGGACAAAGTCAATTAGTTGGTTTTGTATTATAATAATGACGGGTTAGAATGATTATGAGTATGCATATTTTTCAAATATTGCAGCCATTAAAACATAGGGGCGTATAATCAAAAATGACTTAAATTTGATTAAAAATTTCTAGTATCTATAATGTTTTAGATTAAAAGTATACATTTTGTATTATAAATATAGTACCTACTTTACTATATACAAATTTTGCTTCAGACTCATTGCAATTCTTATTAAATTGTGTTATTAATATTTTTCTTTCCTGAAAAAACTTTGAATATAGTGTGATGTTTGCTATATTAATTATATAGAATAAACTTTATATGAATTATATTGTTTATTTAAAATAATATATAAAACGGTACGTATATATTAGTATAACATTATGTTTAGACTGAGTTTTTTTATGAGTCGAAATCATTAGCATCCTTTTAAGAAATCGACAGAAGATCTAACTTGATATATACACGAGTCATTTTAGTTTGAGAGGCTCAAAACATTTGTTTTTTTTTGTTAAAAAAAAAAAAAAACAAATATTGACTTCATCCTGTTTAACAGAATGGTTTGTCACTAAATGTTAAACGTTCCATCGGCACGAAGAATTATTTCTTTCTGTAGATTTAATCATGTTGCATTGTATAAGTATTAGGAATTTTGTATTGAAGTCTTTACTGCGTCTTTGTCTTGAGAAACTAGTTTTCCATACAAACTTTTCAACATAAACATCAAAATGATGGTAACGTAAATCTGTCTACAATATACACAATAGGCATTCCGGTGATTTGCAGTTGCCATTCATTATGTCGAACGATCTTCTGTTACTGTATTCAGTAATTTTATTGCATATTTCGCTCATATAACAAGAACACAGGTACGGATAAGCTGCCTGTACAAATTGTATGATCGCATGTTTTATATATGCAATAGGTTCGTGAACAAATTGGCAGTCGAAGATTGATGAGTTGTATGGAAGGTTATGGAATTTCTGGTAGTAATAGTGGTGGTCAATCTTCGAGTGTTGACAGTCACATACATACTAATGGTAGCGGAATAAAATAAAATAATTTTGTTCAAATAACTAGCGAAACGGGGTCGTACAGTTTGTACAAGATCGAAAATACACATCGTTTTAATCAATAATAGATAACCTCAAAATAATTAAAATAGCAATGTTAATTGTAACAAAATCATTATAGGGCCTTTATGGTCGTAACTCCTATCGATTGATTGATGATAGAAAAAGAATTACTAAAATTGGTTCAGAACTAACACAAATATCGTAAAACATGCCTACGCATATGAATACAGGCAAGTTAAGAATCTTTCGTTTTAAAGCTACTTAAAGTAAATATATTATAGTACAAGGCTAAACTAATTATTTTATTTAGAGATATAATAAAATATATGTATAAACAAATTTATGTATAGAGGTATGTTAACACGCAGGTCAATGACCTAGTCCGGATCGCAGTTAGTAACTTACTGCATGCAATGTATTTCCTTTTTTACAGACTGTTGAAATAGTCGGCAGTGCATGACTATGGTGACAATATTTATATAGTCGATAAGGACAAATTTTGTTTTTGTAAAG